CCCACGAAAAAAAAAAAAAAAAAAAAAAGGTTAGGTTAGGTTAGGTTAGGTTAGGTTAGGTTAGGTTAGGTTAGGTTAGGTTAGGTTAGGTTAGGTTAGGTTAGGTTAGGTTAGGTTAGGTTAGGTTAGGTTAGGTTAGGTTAGGTTAGGTTAGGTTAGGTTAGGTTAGGTTAGGTTAGGTTAGGTTAGGTTAGGTTAGGTTAGGTTAGGTTAGGTTAGGTTAGGTTAGGTTAGGTTAGGTTAGGTTAGGTTAGGTTAGGTTAGGTTAGGTTAGGTTAGGTTAGGTTAGGTTAGGTTAGGTTAGGTTAGGTTAGGTTAGGTTAGGTTAGGTTAGGTTAGGTTAGGTTAGGTTAGGTTAGGTTAGGTTAGGTTAGGTTAGGTTAGGTTAGGTTAGGTTAGGTTAGGTTAGGTTAGGTTAGGTTAGGTTAGGTTAGGTTAGGTTAGGTTAGGTTAGGTTAGGTTAGGTTAGGTTAGGTTAGGTTAGGTTAGGTTAGGTTAGGTTAGGTTAGGTTAGGTTAGGTTAGGTTAGGTTAGGTTAGGTTAGGTTAGGTTAGGTTAGGTTAGGTTAGGTTAGGTTAGGTTAGGTTAGGTTAGGTTAGGTTAGGTTAGGTTAGGTTAGGTTAGGTTAGGTTAGGTTAGGTTAGGTTAGGTTAGGTTAGGTTAGGTTAGGTTAGGTTAGGTTAGGTTAGGTTAGGTTAGGTTAGGTTAGGTTAGGTTAGGTTAGGTTAGGTTAGGTTAGGTTAGGTTAGGTTAGGTTAGGTTAGGTTAGGTTAGGTTAGGTTAGGTTAGGTTAGGTTAGGTTAGGTTAGGTTAGGTTAGGTTAGGTTAGGTTAGGTTAGGTTAGGTTAGGTTAGGTTAGGTTAGGTTAGGTTAGGTTAGGTTAGGTTAGGTTAGGTTAGGTTAGGTTAGGTTAGGTTAGGTTAGGTTAGGTTAGGTTAGGTTAGGTTAGGTTAGGTTAGGTTAGGTTAGGTTAGGTTAGGTTAGGTTAGGTTAGGTTAGGTTAGGTTAGGTTAGGTTAGGTTAGGTTAGGTTAGGTTAGGTTAGGTTAGGTTAGGTTAGGTTAGGTTAGGTTAGGTTAGGTTAGGTTAGGTTAGGTTAGGTTAGGTTAGGTTAGGTTAGGTTAGGTTAGGTTAGGTTAGGTTAGGTTTTTTTTTTTTTTTTTTTTTTTTTTTTTTTTAAATACGTTGGCTCGCATTTTAGAGTTATACACAATCAAGTAACTGCATGATCGGCCAGGATTGCGAATGGGATACAATTCCTTTTGCCCATCATGTTTCTAGTTTACAATTATTTCCTTTTATGTTTCACAGTTTTCATTAAATTAATATTTGGATAACTATGTTTGTTAGTTACGATTGAATGATTTCAATTGATCGATTATATAACTTGCATAATTCACAAACGATGTTATTGCACCTTCTTTTGTTACAAGCTCCTGTATTTTGTACGGAGCGACTTTTAGCATCTGACAACATAATTCATGTTCCATGCGTTGTGCGCCAAATCTAGTACAGCATTTTAAAAGGTGTTCTATATTCTGTACACTATGGTTATTGCAGGGGCATACGTCTGTATTTGAAATCTTAAATCTATGCAAGTATTCTCTATGGAAACCATGGCCTGTTAGAATTTGGGTTAATTTAAAATCTACTTTTGTTGTTTGCCAAAGTCTTTTTATGGAGAATATATCCGGTAATAGCCCTTTTGTATGTTTCCCTTGTGGTGCACTGTAATATCGATTTTGCCATTTGAACAGATTGTCCTTTTTTATTTTTGCTTTGACAAAGCTTATGGGAAATTTTGCATAATCAAAGTTTTTCTTTAAGTTGGCTGCATTTTTTGCAGCCGCGTCGGCTGCCTCGTTTCCAGCAGAGCCTGCATGACCTTTTATCCATGTTATATCGACTGTTCCAGATTCTTTTATTTTCTTTATGTTTTTATGAATATTTACTACAATGGGGTGAGTACTACTGCGATTGCATATCGATTGAATTGCTGACATACTATCTGTGAAAATTTTAGTATTTCTGATATTTTTCTCCAGGGACCAAGCACAAGCTCTATCGATGGCAAAGAGCTCTGCTTGGAATACCGTGCAGCTATCATGTAATTTAAATTTTTTAGTTATTGTATTTTTATTATCCGAAATAACTACAAAAGAGGCACCTACTCTTCCATTCTCTAGTTTACTCCCGTCTGTGTATATATTAGTCGGTTGTGTGAAATTGTTTGGGACTTCTTCTGGAGTTTGTAACTTGTCTGTTATTATTTGAACTCTGTGAGCTGGATGTAGGAGACTTTGGGGTGGTGTGGGCTTTTCCAGTGTTATATCGTCAGGTAAGTATTGGGTGATTCCAGTGCTTCTAATGTTTTCTAAGTGATTTATTTCTGTAACTTTCAAGTCTAAAGGCATGAACTGAGAAAGTGCTAGCGCAGCAGTCGTGGAGACTGTGCGGAAGCCTCGGATGGCTTTAAGTGCAAACAAGCGCTGAGTTTTTTCCAGTAATCGCTTGCAACTCTTTTTCTTTACAGCATGGCCCCAAACACCAGCAGCGTATGTAATTATGGGTTCAATAACTTGGTGATAAATTATGCTTATATTTTCAGGTTGGATACCCCAGGTTGGTCTGCAGTAAATGCACAGTTTATGAAATATTTTTATGGCTTTGTTGGCAACATATTTAATGTGACTGTTGAATGTTAATTTTGTGTCGACGATGACCCCGAGTAATTTTATTTCTTTGACAAACGAAAGCAAGTTTTTGTTCATTACTAAATTAGTTGATTTGGCTTTTGCAGTGAAGGCGATTGCCTGTGTCTTTTCAGGGCTAAAAGAGAGTTTGACTTTCTCTCCCCATTGAACTATTTCGCTTAGTGCTTGATTAGTAATAATTTCTAATTCGTTTGTGTCTTTAGCGTGTGCAATGAGCAAAACATCATCCGCAAAGGCTTGGATGTGACATCCTTTTGGCAACTGAGTTTCCAAAAGTTCGTCGAGGATTAGATTCCAAAGAGTTGGTCCACATGTTGATCCCTGTATACATCCCTTGGACATCGTTTTGGTGACCTCAGTGCCTCCATAGTTCAGTGTTACTTTCCTATTTTCTATGTAATTAGATATTAATCCGAAGATGTTACGGGAGCACTGTATGTATCGGAGTCTATGAAGCAAAGCAGGCCACCAAGCATTATCAAATGCTGACTTGATGTCCAAGGAGATGGCTATTACCTGTTGTTTGTTCTCTTTAGCCTCTTGGATTGTTTTTATGGCATTCATAATAGCTGCAGTTGTGTTAAGTTGCTCTTTGAAACCAAACTGTCGATTACTCATTTTTCCATCTCGCGTGGCCTGGTATTTTATTCTATTTATGAAAAGTTTTTCAAGTAATTTGCCGAACACAGGTAGAAGACCTATTGGACGGAAAGAATTTAAAATGGTACAATCAGTTTTATTAGGTTTAGGAATAATTTTGACGTATGCGATTTTCCACTGTTGTGGAAAATATTGGAGTGATAAACATCTGTTCATTATTTCGGTTATGAGTTTTGGATAGGCTTTAGAAAATTGGGTGCAAATGTCGGCGGTTAGATTATCAATACTAGGAGCTCGTTTGGGATTCATGTTTTGGATGCATTCGATAACTTCCTCTTTAATAAAAGGAGGGTCGTCATTTGTTTCTGGAAATACATCACAATTTTTCCTGAGTTGTTCTTGTGCAGAATTAGAGTCTGGAATATCGTCAGGATAGAAATAATTAAGTAGTGCCTTTGCGGTTTCTTTTTCATCATTGGTGTGTCTGTCTCCAACTTTTAGAGTACTCGGTGTGCAATTAGTCTTTGTATCCTTTAAGAGTCTGTTTGTAACTGACCAAACATTCTCTTTACCTTGCCGTTCACAAAATTCTCTAAAGTTATCTGTAGATGTTCTCCGCAGCTCATCCCCATACTCTTTCTTTTTTCTTTGCCTTTCTTCTAAAAGTTGGTCGATGGCGAGCCCTTTGCGTTTGGTATTATGAATTTTACGATGTAAGGAGATAACATCTTTTTTCAGTTTTTCCAATTTTTCTGTCCACCATATAGGTCTGCATTGGGTGCCGTTGTTTTTCATTGGCATGGATGCCCGGCAAGCTTCATGGATTGTACTAATAATTTTTGTAATAAATGATTCTAATTCTTTGGCATTTAATGTGGAGATATCTACGTCTAGGCATCCATTATGACACATTTTGAGATCTAAGACTGTTTTAAACTCTGCCCAGTTAGCTTTATCACTTTTATACAGATATGTGGAGGTGTTTTTTCTCTTTGTTATACTATCGTTATGTAGGTTTAGTGTAAATTCAATAGAGTTATGTTGGGATAAGGGACATGCTTCCAGGTTAACATTCCAGTTATTTATATTCTCGTATATAGAACCTGAGGCGAACGTTATGTCGATAATAGAAGATCTATTTCTACCATGTGTAACGGTTTCAAATGTTGGAGTGCTTCCTTGGTTACAAATGTACATATCATTTCCAATCATAAGTTCCGCAATTTCGCAACCCCTTTTGTTAGTCGTTTCACTGCCCCAAAGTGGGTGCCACCCATTAAAATCGCCACATATTATACGGTGAGAATCATTCGTTGCCTTAAGAAAAGCTTCTAAGCGCTCAAGTGTTGCAAGTTCATCGTCTCGGGGTTCAACATATGCGGATGCAATATATAATTTCTTTGTACCTATGGTCATTTGGACAACGCAGAGGTTAGGAGATGAGAATTGTGTCATACCAATTACTGCTCCACAACTAGATTTAGTAATGATGCAAGCTTTGACTTTTTGGTCACCTGGAAATTGGTATATACTAAGGCCTTGAATTGATTTCATTTCTTGTTTGTTTCCTAAATATGGTTCTGAGACTATTGCTATAGAGTAATCGTTTGCAGCAAAGTATCGTAAAAATTCTTGTTGGCAACTTTTAGACCGGTCTATGTTACACTGAACTATTTTAATTTTATTTTTATGATCCATAGTCGATTCGTTGGCATATACGCTCTTTCATGGCTTTGACTCTAGGACAAGAAAAGGAAGTTGCTGCATGTTGTGTGTCAAATTTGGTGTTGAACTTATTATTGTGCATTTGGCAGTTGTAGCAGGTAGTAGCAGATTTATTCGCCTTATTAGGACAATCTATGTATGTGTGATTTCCTGCTGCACAGTGGGAGCAGGGATGGATATTATTGGTACACTTGCCTTGAACGTGTCCAAACTGAAGACAGCTGAAGCACTGAAGGAATGGAGAAAAATTTTCTGCATGGATGCGTTGATGATCAACATTTATTCTCCCCGAATCCATTATTTTACGCCATATCAAAGGATTACATAAGAAAACTGCGTTGTATAATTTTGGATTTTTATTTTTCCTCTTAAAACGTAAGCAAAACATGTCATCATTATTATTTATGAGATCTCGTAATTCGTCGTTTTGCCCTGTGATGATACTGACTAATTCTTCTGATGGGACATCATTAGAGATTCCTTTTAAGATGACCATAGGGTTCATTTTGCGCGCGGCTTCAGCGTTAACTGTGGTAGCGGATTTCAAACGTTCTAAGGCGTCATCCCTCTGGGTACACGTATCAAACTCTACTCGGAGCTTATTATTTGATATTACTTGTAGTCTGGAAGGTGCATAATTACAACTCTTAAAACAGATACTCTTACGCCATGATTCGATGACTTCTTGGCGCGAATTGACTTTATTAGTGGGAGTCACAATAATAGCTGGTTTTGTAGCAGGTGTGGGTGCTGGGTTGCTCGTTTTAAAACGAGGAGTAGAAGCAACACTCGCATAGGATTTGGTTTGAGGGGGTATCGATAGTTTAGAAATCTCTTCCTTAATAGTATTTTGGAGCGACTCTTTAACCTCTATAATACTTGCCGTATATTCAGTTTTTATTTGTGTTTCTCTTATGATTCTGTTAATGTCATGCGCCATTTCAATAATCGCTTTTTTGCTGTCGGATGTCACACTTCTGCCAGCCGATATTGTTCTGACTATATTATCTGCTAGAGTGGTGATTAAATTCAGGTTTTCCATTATGCTTGCAGAAGTAGGCATTTCATGATAAGGTGAATTTTCATTTGCGATGCTGCAAGTTTCAGGATTCGTGCAGGCCATTTTATATAAAATTTGCTTACTAAATAAACGACTTACAAAAATAAAGTTATACAGACGAAAAAAATTTTGATTTCTAACAAGAAGCAGGAAAATCTACTTAAGTAATGAAAACTGGGAGGGTGGGAGGGCGATTTTTTCAATTTCCGTGTGTTTAATTAAGAAAATTTTTGTGCAGATGGCAGTTTCTACACGGGACGGACCTAACGGGAGCAAAAAGAACGATTGAAATGAAGATTTGAAAAATTTTAAAAATTTTATCAATTTACGACTATAAGAAAACGAAAAATATGAAAATTAATTATTTAACTGTGAATATTTACAAAGAAAACTATATGGGAATACGAAGGGCAATTAGTTACACTATTTAAATAGAAAATTTCAATGAAAAAGCTTAATTTTAAGCAAATTAATAGATGAATGTATGTATTTCTTTATGAATTTAGTACAATAAAATAATGAAAACAAGAAAATTAATTATATGGCGGTGAAAATTTACTAATAAAACTATATGATAATACGGGGGGCAATTAGCTTAACTATTTAGAAAAGATTTGAACGAAAAAGGTTAATTTTTTGCAAAGTTATAATCAAAATTCTATTTGAATTTATATAATTGTATCGATTCACCACTATACCTCGGTTTAGGTAAGTGGCGATTTTTTCAATTTCCGTGTGTTTAATTAAGAAAATTTTTGTGCAGATGGCAGTTTCTACACGGGACGGACCTAACGGGAGCAAAAAGAACGATTGAAATGAAGATTTGAAAAATTTTAAAAATTTTATCAATTTACGACTATAAGAAAACGAAAAATATGAAAATTAATTATTTAACTGTGAATATTTACAAAGAAAACTATATGGGAATACGAAGGGCAATTAGTTACACTATTTAAATAGAAAATTTCAATGAAAAAGCTTAATTTTAAGCAAATTAATAGATGAATGTATGTATTTCTTTATGAATTTAGTACAATAAAATAATGAAAACAAGAAAATTAATTATATGGCGGTGAAAATTTACTAATAAAACTATATGATAATACGGGGGGCAATTAGCTTAACTATTTAGAAAAGATTTGAACGAAAAAGGTTAATTTTTTGCAAAGTTATAATCAAAATTCTATTTGAATTTATATAATTGTATCGATTCACCACTATACCTCGGTTTAGGTAAGTGGCGATTTTTTCAATTTCCGTGTGTTTAATTAAGAAAATTTTTGTGCAGATGGCAGTTTCTACACGGGACGGACCTAACGGGAGCAAAAAGAACGATTGAAATGAAGATTTGAAAAATTTTAAAAATTTTATCAATTTACGACT